TGTGTCACTTTATTCTGCTGTGTTTAGCGTGGGCTGTACGAGGTTTCCGGCCAGAATCCTCCCTAAAAGAAATGTCTTCAGATACAAAATATTAAGTAATAGCGTAGGAACATAATGTAGAATAGTTTATTTGGGACTTCGTAAGTCCAAACTCCCCAACCGCTAACTCGACTGATTGCAAAAAACCAAGCCGTTCTAGGAGAATTCTAGTTGCAACGGAGCAAATCTCCCTCAGATTCATAAGCATTGGCGATTGCCTGTGGTGAATTCCAAGAGACCACTTAAGCACGACTTTCTCCAGTGGAAACTGCATTTAATAAACATCTGAAATGTAAATGAGGAGAGAATACGACAGATCGACGTATTCCCATGCAGCTGCTGTACTCTAACAGGGATCAGACTACATCCATAGGTGACTAGTAACGAGCAATGAAACGAATAAAGAAATGCTGTTGTTTGCAAGGGATGCGTAGCGGACCATGTAAGCATCTAAGAGAGTATGGTTTTCCTTAGCGACTTTGTAATAAAATAAAAGAAAAAAGCGCACTAGAAAGAGAAAGAGATCATTTAACGAGGTCGAAGAAACAAATATCATGGCATTAAGGTATAGCATGACATTTAGTTAAAGAAATACTTGATATATTTGCCGTGTTGATTGACTTCTAGAAGTTCCAAACGGGTTACCGTCATTTCGAGTGCAGTTCGAGCTCTCATTAATCTTCGCCTTTCTTCACTAGGTCCGAGTTTTGACTCCGTATAATAGATTCAGTGCCTGTGGTGCAGCGGCTGAACGTAGATCGTCGTGCACACCTTCCACACAAGGTTACAGGTTCGATATCGTTCCAGGCTAAACAAGCCCTGAGATAACATTCCAGCAGTTTTTGAAAATTGGCACCACACTATGGTGAAAATTTCGCCCGGTTTGCAGCGCCCGGCACTTGTGATAGTCCATAGAATGCTCTTGCACGTTTATCTCAGGATTATGGGGAAATCATGTACAACCAATATCCAATATTTCGTAATAATATTGAAGAGAGAAAGGAGAGATCTTCAAGTTGCGGCCGAACCCACATCCTACCTTATCATCTCAATGGCTGAGGTTTGCAGGACATCGACCTAGGAACCGCACAATGGATGAAGACAAGTAGCAGAGAAAAAAGTTGAGAGACAAGAAGAACCACAAACGTGTCTGATAAAGCAATAACCTCATACGTCGTTCCTGGGTCGCACAATTGCCAAATAAAAATGCTCCAAAGACAAAAAAATACGCGAAATATAATGAAGTATAAAGAATAAACGAAGAGTAAAGAGTAGAAGTAGAGAAGAGCTGAAATTAAAATTTTAAAGAGCTAAGAAGAAAAACTTCCGGACAAAAGCACTTCAAGCAAATCAGTCCAGGCAGGTTCAATTTAGGATGATATCTGAACTATAGAAGATTCATTATCTCAACCGTTTTTATTTATTGCCTACTCTTTTTAATGGCAGGTTATATTGCGAAATATAACTTCAATGATGCTGAGATATTTGCAAAACTCCAGACCGCAGGTGCCCGCGGTGGGGAACGAACGCGCTATTGTCCTTTCCGGGAGTAACGCATTCACCACCTCACCACGCAGATTATATAGCAGATTCATTCTCCAGTACCGTCACTGAAAATGAGTGCAACGTTTTCACTCCCAAGAGACAGATATAAAGGATTTATGATTTCTTGTAACAATCCAGTAACACGATGAAAAGTTTCCTATTTATCCAAAAGGGTTGGAGGTTGTCTGTGATCAACTGTGAACGCCAGGTGCCATTTTCTCAGGACCCAAGGAAAACGGCTCATTCATTTAGTAAAATACCAGCCAAACAGAAAGTGTTCTGCAAGATCCACTATTCAAACCATACTTTTGAATGCGAGACACTGAACTCTTCGAGAAAGTGTCGCAAAGACTCCCGTTGAAAAATTCATTGGTAATATCGCCTTAAGAAATTGGAAGAATTTCAGGAGGAGGGTTATGAGCTGAAACACTGCAAATATATTTTTCAAACCGACCGTCATTGAACCTCTTTAGCAGTAATAAATACGCTCTTACACTGTTAAGCAAACACGAGCTGGGATAACGAATATAGTTAGAAAACCACCACTCATTTATTTCAATAGAAGAATTCACTTCATTGGCGTCGGTATTGTTGCAGGATTCCACATCAGATCGAGATCTTCTTTGCATCTCTTTGTTCTTCTCAGAGAAAGAAGATGTTCGAACCTAATCAACGAAAAAGCGAAAACCCCAAACTCATAGAAGACCGAGTTTACTTCTTCTACTCTGAAAACTCTTCAGAACGTGGCACTATCAACAACTGCAAAATATTCTTCCATCTTCAACACGATAATCTTACGGAATCGTCGAAGAAGTAATGAATAATGAAGTGAAATGGAACTGCCCAGCTCAATGTTTTGCCTTCCGTTCTCTCGGCTTCTTTATCATTATATGTAGGTTGTGATTAGCTGGACTTAGTGCAATGCAAAGCGGACAAAGTAACATTCCCTAACGTAATCCTCAGATTTCTTTAGAAACACTTGAAGATGTGAACAATGGTTCACTATATCAACCGAATGGAAAAAGCTCGTCGGGCAAGCACCTTTCCCAACGAAGACGTAGGTAGAGGCTTGGACCGAAAGTCACGTAATCACACGAGGATAAACGATGCTGTTAGAAAATGGTTCCTCCTCGTCCACGTTTGCCGACCATTTTGTCACAACGAGTTAATTTGCTATACTCTTTGTATTTAAATGATGGCCTACTTCCCACAGATATTATGGTAGGCGTGTTTCATGAAAACATACTTTTTTGTTTTATATAATCCGTCTTCACGTTTACTGTGCTGATCCCAGTACTTCTTACATTCACTTCGTTTCTTTGCACCCACTGTCCACGAAGACCTTCAAACTTCACGTGTGGCTTCGGGTGGTGCTTGGGGACTTTCACTTCATCTTTGATGTCGTAGAATGCTGGTCGAGCGATTCTCCTTGGAGTACAGAGGTAACTGGGCTGAAGCGTTGTTTCCAATTAGATTGCAGAGAGTGATTTTTTCCCAGACAAGTCGGGTACTAATTTACCGACCCCGGAAGGATGAGAGGCTTGGTTGCCCCGGAGTGGAATCGAACTAGTACCATTCTCGTGATGGCGGACATCACTACCACTGTGATATCCGTCCATAAAGATATACCTTGCACTTAGTAATTTAAAAAAACACATCTTCGCGGACGAATTTTTCATACAATGCCACGAGAGGCGAAAGTCCAACTGTATTCCCGTGCATATTAATGAAAACGTCGGCAAAATGGGAAGGGTATCATTAAAATCATTCATGGAAGGGTAAAAAGAACAAAGCTTTCGAGGCTATTGTATTCATCCTTAATGCCGTAATCTTTCCATTTCAAAATCTTCAACACAGTTGCGACGACGTGGGTTGGTGTCTCACACGGGGATATATTGGACAGCATGAGCTGATCTACATGCGTTTATCCACGACTGCTATCACGCACTGTATTTAAAACTGATATTTCAATGTGAGGGACACGTTGCGATTCCACGTCCACTCTGCACGGCCGCGCTCTACGGGAAATATTCAGTGAAACACTCACTGTAAGTGGTGCATGTGCGAAGTCACTTTGTTTTCAATGCGATTGAAATTTTCGTCGTTTCGAATTTCCTCTGTCTGGTTACGGAGGTGATCGGCTAGGTATCGATCGTTTAGAATTTCCTCTGTCTGATTACGGAGGTGTTCGGCTGGCTAGATTACAGTCAGGGTGACCTTTCCAAGCCCTGAAGAAAGCGAAATCCACCGAAACGTCAGCTTTTCCGTCAATGAGAAATAAAACAAGCCTTCGTGTTAGCCCATTAAGAATATAGCGAATTATTAATATATGTATACACACATATATAAATGGAGATATGTATCTACATGTGCTCCAGGACCCAAAAATACCGCTGCCAATATCGCTCAAGCTGGAAGCCACAAATTATGTGTACTTTTCGCAATCCACGTGACATCTTACATTCAGAGGAAGGAAATCCCACAGCAGTGGAGGACGTCGCGCACGGTCATCCTGCCCAAGAAAGGTAACCGATAGGATCTTCGTAACTATCGTCCAATGTGATTCTTGAATGAACTGTACAAGCTGTTTACGAAGATTATCCCTCTGCGAATATCAAAGACCTTGAATAAGGCATAACCAGGAGGTCAAACAAGGCTCCGACTTCGATTCTGCTGCATGGATCACATCCAAATTTTGTTCCTGGTAATAGAATTCCGTAGCGGTTACCATCTGCACCTAGTCAAGAGTTTTATCGACGATGAAAAAACGTTTGACAGAGTTGAAACGAATGTGACGCTATCACTGTTCGTCGACCAAGAAGTGGATCTATTCCGTATACGACTGCAGACAAATAATATCTTTCATTGACATCTTTATCTTCATTCATTGACACTTCACCCATAGGGAAAGGTGTTCGACAAGGTGACACTGTCTTGTTAAAATTGTTTAGTGCTGCACTGCAGTGAATGATGAAGTCACTCAATTGGGACGAGAATGGCACAAATACTGACGAATTCCTGTCAAATCGTCGCTTTGCGGATAACATTGTCATCCTTTCGTGGAGTACCAGAGATCCAGAGAAGATGCGCAGTGAACTCAACGAAGCACGAAAAAAAAATGAATTGCGCAGAAATAGAGTGAAAACACAGCTCATGAAAAACCCTTGGTGCGAAAACGAATATATCGAATTGGATCGTTCTCTGATTACGGAGACCACCTTTTATGTGCAACTTGGATGCTGACTGAACATTGAAAACAACATAAATGAGGAATCCATCGAGCAACTGACGGAACAAAAACTCTGCGCTCACCTTTTCAATCCAGCAGTCCTCCCACTCATGAATTCTGCTCACCCTCACAGAGTAGTAAACGATGTTTTCTGAAATTTGCCCGACATTCAAAACGTCTATCCGGAATGCACAGCTCCAATCTTCGAAACCTATCTCATCTTCGGGATCCAGAAGAATATACATTGATAACGAAACACAAATGGGCCGCCCACATAATAAGAAGAGCAGATGACGGATGGCCGAAAAGAACAGTGAAGTGCATTCCAAGAGAACGCAAACGTCGTTTTGGACGGCCACCTAAACGATGGACGGATGTGTTCGTAGCTAACGGCACGTACTCACTGATGGGCACGATTTCAGGACTACGGAATGGGCATCGCGAATGTCACCATATTCGAAGCAGACCACCACCATGGATGATAATGGTGCGATAGAGAAACAAATGGAAATTATGTCGCCCGCATTGTCGCGAGATTGGCTATCCAAAGATTAAAAGTATATATATATATATATACATATATATATATATATATATACGCATGACGATTAAGCAAAATTTTCCCTACAAATCGGTGCTCACTCCTCAACCACATTAGCCATCGAAAAAATAGCATCGTCTGCTGTGTTATGCATGCAAACCTCATTTCTTAACAATTAACTGACACCTGTTAACCTCCCCTCTGTTAACCTCGGCATTGATTGAATAATTCTTTCTTCTTCTGTTCAGCAAACACGAGGTGTTACTTAATTTCTTCATTTACGCACAAGCTGACCTTCCTCAGAGCCTGGAAAGGTCAAGTTGACAGCAACCTATTCGGCCAAACACCTCCACAACTAAACAGAGAAAACGCTAAACCAAGATTCCAATCACATTGAACACAGCTCCGCACACTCACCGCTTTCTATGAGTCCTCCACCAAATATGTTACGTAGAGACCAACCCCACAGACTTCACACAGATTCGTATCGTGTCCATCTTATCAAAATAACAGGCTTATACACCGCCCGATATCACACGTGATAATGAGGCATTCCTCCCTGCGGTTCATTTTCGGATTCTTGGAATTAATCCAGAATTCCTCTAGAGTTCTGCGCGCTTGTGTTCCCGATTCTTGCGCGAGGATCGTAACCCTTACTTCAAAATCTTCTCCGTTATGTCTCTGCATCCTATGCGTGCTTAGTGGAGTATTTGGTTTACGTTGACCGACTAGGTGTTCTTTTATACTTACGTAGAGTAGTCTACCCGTTTCGCCAACGTACTCGTCTCCGCACGCTTTACAAGAGATCAGATAGGCTGCACCCGAACTCATGCAGTCACCGTCTCTACCACTAGAGCAAATTATGCAATTTTGCGTTGCACATAGACGGTCATATAGGCGGTTACGAACTAGCTGGCGTCTTAGATTACTCGGTGGTATTTCGATTATCGTTACCGAGTTCTCTAGACTGGCCCTTTTTAAACAGCGTTTTGTAGCTGTACTTAGTTCATTTAAAATGAAGGGCAGTAGAAACGAGACCTTGTTGTCGCTAGAGTTATCGTTGGGATACCTGTGGTTTCCTCTACACCTACCTCGATCTACAGTTTCGTAACTATTAAAAATGGCTATTTGTCGAGCCAAGTTCAGCGACTCCTCTCTCTGCTGTCTTCCTGTGCACACGCTGGTAGCTACTCGAAACATGTTTCTCACAAGCGCCCTTTTCGTGTGAGAGGGGTGAGAGGAGAAGTAATGAACCAAGATGTTTTTACTACTTGGCTTTCGACACCATTTCGTAATGTAGCCGTTTTCTGATAGGTTAAATTGCACGTTCAGAAATAGAAGCCAGTTTTCTTTTGGTTTCTCTCGGGTGAATTTAATATACTCTGACTGTTCGACCAACAACTCGAAACATCTGTCAATTTCTTCTTGTGTTGAACAAATGACCAAGCAGTCATCTATATATCTACAGTAGAGTAACGGACCGAGGTCGATTACTGGCGCTTCCACCTTAGACATGAATACAATGGCAAGGCTTGGAGCCAGTCGTTGTCCAATTGCCAGCCCTCTCATTTGTGAGTAATACCTACCGGATCACGTGAAGATTGAGCAGTTTAGGCACTACTTTAAGATTGTCATCAAATCGAGAAGCCGTACATGTTTATTGCTCCTTCGTGTTGTATAAGGAGGCCTGTATAAGGAAGCCTCGCGGATGGCTTGTATAGCGGGGTCATTCGACACGTTCGTAAAGAGGGCAGTGATGTCGAAAGACTCCATCACGTACGCGTCATTAGGATACGCGTTACGTAGACGATCCAGGAACATTGGGGTGTTCGTTAAATGAGCTGGAATTTACTTCAACAACTGAGTAAGTATTAGGGTTATTAACCACATTATTCTATCCGTCCACGCAGCTAATCATGAATCTAAACTTAAATAATGATGGATCGGTAGACACAAAATCATCGCTAGATACTAACTTATGGGTTTTGATAAGTAAGCACAGGACGAGACATGCTGGTAAGTCAATTTTGAGATGAGAGGTAACTGATGGTTTCAACCCAGCCGCTCTTTCCACTTATTTTGATGAGATGGGCACAATACGATTCCGTGTGAACTCTGTGCAGTTGGTCCCCATGTAACACATTTAGTGGAAGACTTATAGAAAGCGGTGAATGTGCAAAGACTCTATGTTCAATGTGATTGAAATTTTGGTTCAGCATTTTCTGTTTGGTTATGGTGTTTAGCCGTGTAGATTGTAGTCAACTTGACCTTTCCAGGCTCTGAGGAAGGCGAAATCCACCGAAACGTCAGCTTGTACGTAAATAAAGAAATTACGTAACACCTCGTGTTTACTGAACAGAAGTAGAAAGAATTAACTGACAGTTCTGGTGTTTACAGTCGCTAGAACGAACCGTGGCTATTGCGTGGAATAAATGAGTATAAAAATATTCATAATACATGCTGTAAAATGTTGACAACACATTGATTGGATTGTGGATGCGATTTGGAGTGAGAAGTGACTTCCCTTCACATGAAAGGGTTAAAAATGCTCGAAAAAATGAAAAAGTGCGAAATACACACAAACATGAAAAACATCAAAAGTACTAATAGAACGTGTGAAAAAACCAAATTGTAAAGAGAAAAGCACATTAAGAAATACACTTTTCCTTGGACATTATGGCCAGTATGAGTTGATTTCAATTCGCATTTTGCGCGCCGGAAAATCAGATATATTCGCGAATTTGTGATATTGTTATAATTGTAGACGTAGCTATTAAAAAAACTAGGAAAACAGAATAAATATTAACAGAACACACCAGTTGAGATCCCTCTTGCGAAAAGACGATGGCGTGCAGCAAAGCGCCCAGAAATACGCCGAAGATGAACATGGCGATCGACGCCAGTACCGCAACGCAGACGCCGGCTGAGAAGCGACGTCGTGCCGTAAATGTGGACCACGTGGCTGAGAAACAACATCATCGTCTTCCGCACTTCATAACGAAAACATGTTAAAAATGCGACTATCGTCATCTACTGACGACTACAACTACCTTAACAGAAGAATTACTGTCGTAATGATCAAATAGATAAAGTAAACAAAACCGTAGTTTCTCTTCATATCGAAATCATGAAGGGCAAAAAGCAATGCTGCTTATGATGAACAGTTGACTGAGATTTCATAGAAACAAAATGAAACTTACCAAGACGACGTAATAAACTTAATAACGAAATTCAGCTCATTTTATGCAAGGAAATGTCGGCATTGTCGTTATCGCATAGTCAAAAGTGTTGCTACTTTCCTCCCAACGGTTTACCGCCTCATTGTGGTTGAGAGGGATTCTTGGGTGTCGGGCTGCGATGTGCGGCGGGGGATTCATCTGCCCGGCAGAGCCTCTCAAGCTGAGAAGGAGTTCGGCATTTCCACCAGGAAGTCCAGCTAAGAGTAAACCAATGCCAGGATCCATCACCGTCCTGGTATCAAAGTCGCATGGTGGCAAATCTCTCTGTGAGGCACAAAGGCGGCAACTGCCTATGGTGGTGATGACTTTGGCAGACTTTGGCCTGGCTGACCTCGGGACTGCAGGTAACCACAAGGGCTAAACCAGCAAAACTCCGAAAATTGAAGAATATGCTTGAGCGCACAACCAGTGAGTCCAAGTACTCCAAGTAGGTAAGTTGCTACTTTTTCTTCTGATTTTTCACGTTTTGATAATATCGAGTGATTTCATAGAAATAAAGTCCTTCTGTAGAAAACGAAACTCAGCGCTGTACAGGTGGATCGCTTTTACATGGCGTTTGTTAAATGACCTCTTGTTTTATTAAGCAGACGATTTCGACTTCGGCAAAATGGACGTGCGGGGAAAATCCATGCACTCGCGGAAGTCGTGGATTATCGTGCGGTGCTCCGATCAGATTGAAATGAAGGTCAAACTTGAAGTGATTATTGCATTACCTAGCATGAACTATTGTGACTAATCGTAATTACGATTATAATTGTAATAAAGCGGAGATATTTGTAAAACTCTGGAACGCTGGTGTCTACGGTGGAGACCGAACACGCCACTACACTTTCCGAGGGCTAACGCGTTCACCACCACACCATCACATAATACTCTTCCATTAAAAAACAGGCAGTCAATAAAAATTGACGACATTATGACTGTAATTCTAATTACTGTTGTGAGGATGCTTTACTACCGAAAACTGTGATTGGATGTAACCACTATTGAAAGAAATCGAAAAACGTGCATTCCATTTGTGGCAAAACAACATAGAAAAGGAGAAAAATTTTTAAAAAACGCCTATAAGCCATTCTACAAGTAGTACTGCAAGGATTTCAAATGTTCTGTTTTACTATATCAATTGATTCACGAAAAAAAAACCACAGTGTGGAAGTAGGAAAAAGACCCTTAAGCTAAAGTCCGGAAATCCGCAAGTGGATCACTAGTTGTTGAACGAATTTAATGACGTCGTACAACACTCTCGTATCCACAACGCGATGATGAACAGTGACCGTACGTGACCGGATTTTCGCCGTCAACTTTAGCACAACAACAATTTTAATCATTTACACGATTATTTATATGGTTAATAGCGCGTGTAGCGCAGTTGTTGGGGGCGCTTTCTAATACACATGGGATCGATCCCCAGGCCCACCAAGTACTCCATCCCTCCGGGGTCGGTAAATTGGTGCCGGACTTATCTTTGAGGACAGCAGCACTGGTTCGATACATCGGTAGCCCACCGCGCGTCATTGTAAAGGCCAGATGTTCATTCAATCATCTCCAAACGATGATCAATGAAGTCGAATGCATGGCGCATCCCTCAAGGACTGATCAATGCTGAGAGCTTTATTCTTTATTTTTGCGGCTACTTTACATAGCATAGATAAAATTTCGATTAAAACAAAGCAAAGAATAAAGAAGAAATGAAGATCTATGCTATAGAGAAATTTT